GCCAAGTGATTTCTTTAATCAGGGCATTAACAACCTGATTGTAAGATGGAAAAGTATAATGGATAAGAATGGAGACTATTTCATTTAATAAATGTTTTGTCTTGATATATAAGTTGTTCGGGTTTTTCATTTAAAAAAGCGATATTAATTTCTTGACGACTGAATACAACAATTGGCCTAACTATATGTAACAGCAAAGTTAGATAGCCTTGAACTTCCGAAACGATCTTGCTCTGTTGGAAACTGATATCGTATATTTTAAGTTGCACACCAAAATTTATGCTTGCTTTTATAAATTTAACTATTAATGGTAAGTTTTATGATGTTCTAAATTTTATAAAGGTACATTAATGTAGGAAAAAAGCTACATCGTGTATTTAATAAGTCGTTATACATTCAATTTATTTCTAAACACTTAAAATTTCGAAATTTCATGGCAAAGGGGGCCAATTAGTAATGAAGTATATTGTGTGCGTTTGTGAAAAGGCACGTAAGATACTTTTGGCATTAGAAGTTAATTGTTTATACACGGGTAGAGTAATTTATTTTAAAACCATTTCTGGAGCCTCACTATATTTGTTTGTTTGTTTTTGAATTTCGCGCAAAGCTACACGAGGGCTATCTGCGCTAGCCGTCCCTAATTTAGCAGTGTAGGACTAGAGGGAAGGTAGCTAGTCATCACCACCCACCGCCAACTCTTGGGCTACTCTTTTACCAACGAATAGTGGGATTGACCGTCACCTTTTAACGCTCCCACGGCTGAAAGGGCGAGCATGTTTGGTGTGACAGGGATTCGAACCCGCGAGTCGAGTGCCTTAACCACCTGGCCATGCCGGGCCATCTCACCATGTAACTGTCGTCAGTGTTTCCCGTTCGGTCATTCTATATGTATCTGATGATCATAAACCTCGACAATAGCGCTGTAGCCTAGTTTCCATTGGAAAAGCTTTTCATGTCCAAAGCATACCACTCCAGCCTGCTGGGTTTCTATAATCAATCTAAAGGAACGACGTAAGAATTAGAAATGTGTGATTATTAGAACAAATTGTTGATAGGTTGTTTAGGCAGAGTATTCATAATGAATCTAAGGTTCAAATGGACAGCAACTGCTTGTTGTATAAACCTACAAATATAGAGGACGACGTTTCGAAAGCCGGAATACTTTCAAAACGTAGTGCTCTACATTTGTAGGTTTCTACAACAGGCAGTTACTGTCCATTAGAAACAAATTATCTGCTTATCTTATACAGCAAGCACAATATGCAAACATAGATGTGAAAGTCTTTTCACATGATCCGCGAAAAGGTTGCATATTTACGGAAAGCAAGCGACAGCATAATTTACACATCCCATTGCAGTTTGTAGAAATAATAACCAAAAAAATATTTAGTATTTAGCGAACAAAAACGTCTGTAAAACGTTGGAATTGATGGAAGGCATCTAGTTAACATCATATACCACAAACTCATGGGTTACTCTTATATGATCGAAAAGTCGAATTTAAATGCCGTGATATTGGCGTTTATGCAGTAACGAGTTGCGAGCCACTGATCTTCGAATTCACAATATAGGTAAGTTAACTAATAAGCCACACCAAACCTGTTTTATTAAGAAATATGCTAATCTGAAAATGATGATTATTTTAAATTTTGATTTTTAATTCCACAAACAAATGAACATTTCGGATCTTAAGCTACATAAAATATAATAAATTGTTATCATTTTTGAAATACTTAAATTTTGATAAAAATTTTTTGTGGAACAAATTAAAATATTAAGCGTTTTGTCAACTAATATACTGAAACGTTCTATCAACAGGTGGCGATTAAAGTCTAGAATAAAAATGGCGAGCACTAGTAGTACCTTTCAGCCGGTAGGTGTAATATTTTTAATTTTAGTGATTGATTGATTCTGTTTACATTTAATTGAATAATAACTACAGTTTGTTTGTTGTTTTGTTTAAAAAACAGAACAGTGATCATTAGCTGAGTAAATAAGTGTTATAAAGCTTACCAAAACCAGCCCCTTATCATAGTAGTAGTACTGGTAGACTACTGTAATTTGTAAAGTGTTAACACCAACGCTAAGTCTAACTTAGAAGTTAGACTCTGCTCTAAGTTAGAACCGTAGTATGTTTATTATCATTAATAATATTAATGCTAGTATAGCACTGCCTCTACCACTGAAAATTGTATCACGTAGGAAGTTAGAATTTTGATATAGCCTCCAAAAGTATCAATATAACAGCCTCTTATATTCTTTCATTTTTCAAATTTCAGCCTCAAGTTTTATAAATATTCACATAAAAACAAATAGAGACTGTAACTTAAATATAGGCACTTGTGATTTAACAAACATCAGAATTTTGGTATCTAGTTCAAAGTACAATTAAGCAATGTAAAAGTTTATCTTTAAAAAGTTAATTGTGAATTTTTCGGAAAAAATCCGAAATTCATTTTATTTTGAATGTCAGACCTAAAAAACATGTATCCCAAACATCATTCTGACTTTTTCTCACCATTTCAAAATTTGACCCTTCCAGTAGTAGTACACAGTAAACAGTAACATTTATTTAAGAATCTGAGGACATACTTTAATAATGCAGTTATATACGTATCCTACTTTACAGTGTAATAGCTCTTGAAATTTACATTTTGATAATTATTTTGTCAACTTGCCTTTTTGTACAATTAAAAGAATCTATGTTACACCTTCCCTTGGTGTCTACAGAGTTATAATTTGAACAGGAGTAGTATTAAATATTGTGATATTTATTACATGCATAATTCATAAATAAAAAAAATTACATTAAATAGTACTATGTTGAGTACTCTTACTGTGTGAGACTTGGTTGTGTTATGTAGTTCTGTTAATACAGTTAATATAACTTTATTCTACTAACAAGTACTGAACTGCCACCTGGTGGAGAAATGTAACCTCCAAAAGGGGTGGTCAAGAAATTTATAATCATAAGTTCTATTTGTTAAGATGTAAAAAAACAGTATGTGGGTAAAAAGTATAAACTTCAGCCATGTTCCAGGGTGCAACTCAGCACATAACCATAAAGTAAGCTTTCATTATTTCTTACCTGAGAAGAGTGATAGCATTTAAAACTGAATAGTATTTTTTGTTCATGTATTAAATTCCTTGTGGTGAGTTTAAACATTCATTTATCAGGTATCCAGCTTGCTTTAAAGTTTGGGTGAGGGTTAATTAAGCTGGGAATTTGTGTGAATTTGTATTATTGCCAATACTTATTACAGCATTTGATTAATAGTTATAATTTTAAATGAAAGGTTCAACAGTTTTAAGGCAAAAAACAAAAATAATATTACTGCTAAGATACAACTTCAAACAGATAAATGAAAAATTGTGTAATAATTGTGTTTTATCTGTACTGAGGGAGAGAGACATGACCATGTCAAACAACCGTTACACACCTACTAATGCAATAAACTAATATGATACAATCCCAGAATTCATAAATTCGATCAGAGGTCATGAATACATATTTAAAAGTATGGCTAGTATTTTGTGTATACTAGGATTTTAATTATAAGACTTCTAAAAATTTTTCTTCTCTACTTGATATTTATTTTTTGTTTTTTTATATTTATTTCCCAATAAAATTTCTTTTATTTTCAAACCTTTTATTTCTACTCTTCTACACATCTGTATAAAAACGTTACAATCTTTACTATTAAGTCATTAGAGTACACCATTTGTGTATCATTCATTATAATATAAACGTGGTAAAAAGTGTTTGTGTTTACTGTCAGGTGGATTTTGAATAACTTCTGTAGTTCAACTGTGTTTATTAGATAAACTTCCCCACAACCTAGATAACTTCCTATGTACTTCACCTACATATGGTATTGTATCATAAATACAACGATTATTAGCAATAATCTCTTTAGGTTTTTTCTTTTCTCTCTTATTTCATAAATAAAACTTTTTTTTTCTTTAATTTGTCATAGTATAAAAAACAAAGGTTTAGTAATGAACAGTCAGTTATCTAAGGCTCTTAATACAGCAATAATCCCACTGTACTTTTTGTATAGATATGTAGATAATACTTTATCTGGGTTTAAAATTGAAAAAAAATATGATTTTTTTTTCTACGAGATAAATGAATTAAAAAATATACAGTTTATAGTAAAAAACAAAAGAAGTTTATAAAATCTGCCCATTGATAAGAGTGACATAATATGTAGTTTAAATATATATATATACAGAAAACCAATGCATGTTGGAACATTTTTTTTGAATTGAGTTTCAACTTGTAAAAAAATAAGTGATAAAAATTGATATATTTTAAAAAGTTCTTTAATTTCGGCCCGTAGATTATGTTCAAAAATATGAAGCAGTTGAAGAAATCTTTCATAGAAAAAAAAAGTATGATCCTAAAAATGTAGAAAAATCACTCTAAAAG